GTGCGCGGATGGGGGCGACGAGTGCTGACGCTGACGAATGTGAGAATGATGAGGGCGATCAAGGCTGGCCCGAAACAAATCCTAGCGTCATTGCAGGCCGCCGATTATCGGCCACGCCGCCAGGACGACGCCAAGCAACAAAACGACACCAACCAACAAAACGACACCAACCAACAAACCAACAAATCGACACCGACCAACAAAAGGACACAAAGCAACAAAACGACACCAAGCAACAAAACGACACCAACCAACGAAACGACACCAACCAACAAAACGCACGAAACAACAAAACGGCACTGACCAACCAAACGACAAATCACTTCACGACACCAATGAACAACGCGAAATCCACCGACCGCCAACCAAACATAAAATCAACCGACACAACGAACCCAACCCATAGAGCCAGACCAACCACTGGATTCGTGAGTCGGGGTAGTCATGGAAGTGAGCCGCTGCAGCCCGCGGAAGCCATTAATAGTGACCAGAGCACCGCAATGCAGCAGCGTCCCTGGGCGGCGGCGGGAGTCTCGGATCTCCCGCGGGACTGGAGCGTAGCGAGTTCGTCCTGGGTCCGGTTTAGTGAAGTGAAGAATTTCGGGGTGCTTGCATGGCAAAAACCTTCACTTCACTAATCTGGGGCCCCTGGAGCCCCAGGGCGTTTCAGGTCCCCTCGCTGTCTGGGTAGTCCAGGGGGCGCAGTGGCGGCTTACCAGAGGCCCTGTTCCCTAGCCTCACTTGCTTTCACCCGTGGTGCTCGACGGCCGTCTCGGAGCTGTCTTGTGGCGGTCTGGGGCAATCCCGAAGCCTCTTGGAGCCATCCCAAGGCCCCAAGGCGCCACCAATGGGGGCCCCAAGAAAGCTCCCAGAGGGCCCCGAAAGGCCTACAACAGATTGCACGTTCGCGCGAATTCTTTGTACCACTTTGGGGGGTCCCTCTTGGGGCCCTCGGGGAACGTTCTTGGGGCCCTCCGTGGGCCCACTGGGGCCCCGGGAAGGCCCCAAGAACGCTCCCAGAGGGCCCCAAGAATGCTCCAAGAGGGCCCCAAGAGGACCCCCACAAGTGACAAAAACTATTTGCATGAAGGTGCAACTTATTCGGCACCTCTTGGGGCGCTCTTGGAGCCGTGCTGGGCGCCACTCGTGGACGACATGGGCTGGGCGACGGCATGTGGACCCTGTCGCTTGGGCCATCGGGGGTGCTCCCCAATGGGGCCACGAAACGTGTGAGCGTATGGCGGAATGGGCTGGGCGGCGGCCTGTGGGCCCTGCCTGTGGGGCCGTCGGTGCAGCTCCCTGTGGGGCCACGAAACGTGTGAAACGTATGCCGAAATATGCTGGGCGGCGGCCTGGGAAACCTGCCGCTGGGACCTTTGTTTGGTGGAGCTGCCTATGGGGGCACGAAATGTTTGAGGGTGTGTCAATGTGGCCTGGGCGACGGCATGTGGACCTTGCCGCCGGGACCTCCGATGAGCTCCTCATGGGGGCACGAAGCGTCTGAGGGGCGTGCCGACATGGGCTGGGCGGCGCACGAAGGACCCTGCCGATGGGGCCTTCGGTGGAGCACCTCACAAGGCCACAAGGCTTGCGGGGGATGTGGCGAAGCAGAGACGCGGGGGAACAAGGTGGGTGTTTTGATGATGTTGATGAGGATGGTGGTGGTATTTATGATGGGGACGACGAGAATGCTGATGATGCTGATGATGATGGTGATGGCGACGATGACGATGGACGATGACGACGGGGACACGCGGAGAGCAGGGGCAGATACGCGAAGAGGGAGGACGAGGGAGGAGGCCGGAAGGAATGACGCGGGGCGGTGTCTCTTCAAAACGAAGAACCAACACTGCAATATGGTAGGACATTTTTGGACGACCCCCCCCCGTGGCGCGGTCAATGTCCGCGACAGCATCGCTGGCACTACGAACGAAATGTTCGAACTCTTCCTGCGACGTTACCCGCGGGGTGGATCTGCCAGGGATGGGGGTCGAAACCACCCCAGCGCAAAGCAAATGTACAATCCTGAGAAACCCCAACCCACATCAACCGATCCGCAACAAGCACGCAAGCCTTTGACGACCCCAACGCACGTGACATCGCATAACGCGACGCGCCATCGAAAACGTTCGACGCGCGGCCTCGGAATGACATCGGGCTTCATGGAACGTCGAATGGAAAACATGAAAAACCGCCCTGTGGGCTCCGAGACCCAACATTAGTGATGTGAAGGATTTCGGGTCTCGGACTCGGCCCCGCAGTGCGGGGCACTGGCAGGCGTGGGTGTATCGACATTCTCTCTCTCTCTCTCTCTATATATATATATAGATATATACAAGACTACATTGGCGCTTCGCGCCATGCACCTTGGTCCTTGAAATGTGGTGTGCAGGCGGAATAGCAGGAAGGTCAAGCCGACAATTTCGCGATAACTCCTTGTTGCCTTTTCCGGCATCGCCGCTATAATGTTATTCGTTATCCTTTCTCCATGCTTCTTTTTCCGCATGTTCGCCATACCCTGCGCATTTTCCCTATCCTCAGCTTTTTTTGCGGAGGCTCCTCCTGGGAGAGCCTCTGGGGGCTTAAAAAAATGGTTGGAGGCTTTCTTAAGGCCTTCTGGAGGCCTCCTGGGCGTATTCTGGGGGCCTCTGGGGGCTTCCTCGGGCCACCCTGCCTCCAACCACGGTCTCCCTGAACGACCGGGTTACGATTTGAAATGCTTCGGAGGGTGTTCTGGGGCCATCTTGGGCCGCCATGGGGCTCTCTGAGGGCCATCTTCTTGGACCCGTGTTTTGCCGTTTTGGGGCTCTCTTGGACTGCCTGGAAGCCCTTTCGGATGTTTGTGGGGCGATTTTGGAGCCTCCCAGGCGGCTTCGGACGCCCCGAAGACCGCCGTCTTGGAGCGTCGGGAAGCCGAAAAGAGGAGAACCCCCAAATTCACCAGAAACTCATGATTTTTGCCTCTTGAGAGTGCTCTTGGAGGCCTCTTTGGGGCCGTCCTGGAGGCCTCTTGGGCCATCTTGAGGTCACGTCGGTCACTCTTGGAGCGCTCTTGCGCTGTCATGGGGGTCTCTGAGACGTCTCCGATGACCCCCCTGATCGCCCTAGGTGTGTTGGGAAGGCTGGGCAAAACGCCCTGCGAGGCCAGGGGGGCCGCTTCGATGTCCGTCCAGAGGGTCCCAAAGCCCCAGATCCCGGGAGTCCGGTTTTTTTTTGGGGGGGGGATGGGTTTTCCCCCCGCCCGGGCCCGCTCGCGTGTCAAAGTGTGGCTGTCAGCGGCCCCTTCAGCCTCGCATGATGTATCGGCCTCGAGGTTCGCCACTAGCGATCCTGAGGCGTCCATGGTGACAGCCTGTATGTGCGCAGGCGAAAAGGGGAAACTAACAAGTAACCGTTTGCATTCGCTTCTCGCGACGACGAACGACAGGGCGGCGCGCGCGTCCACCCTACCTTACCGGCGCCACCGCTCGGGATGAGATGCTGGATCGCCCCCGCGCCCTGCGCGAGCAGAAGCAGCAACAGGAGGAGGGGATGAGGAAGGGCGGAAAAAGGAAAGATACAGACGGACCCGCGACCCCATGGAACCAGACGGAGTTACCGTCAAAAGCAAAGCAGGCGTCAAGCACGAATGGCAAAACGCACCTCCCTCCTCCCTCCTTCGTCCCCCCCTCCTCCTCCTCCTCCGCCTCCTCCTGCTCCTCCTCCTCCTTCTTTCCCTTTTCGCCTCCTCATCCGCCTCGCCCCCATCCTTCCTCCTCCTCCTCCTCCTCCTCCTCCTCCTCCTCCTCCTCCTCCTCCTCCTACTCCTCGACGTCTTCGTCGTCGTCGTCGTCCTCCTCCTCCTCATCTTCCCCCTGTGTTTTTCGCTTCCGCTTCTGCTGCGACACTGCTGGCGGACATGCGCACTTCGAGATAACTCTCGGAGCAAGTGGCGCCGGTCACCCTGCCGTGCATCACCCTCGTCTTGGCCGCGGTGGGCATGCAACCCAGACCAAGGAGGTCGATGTCAATTGCCGCAGGATCTTCGATCCGCTCGAGTGCAGCGCGCCACCGCGGGAAGAACCGAAGCGGTTACCATGCGTCCCAGAGGCTGCTGCAACCAGGGAGCGTGGAGTGGACACGATACTATGTTCAAGGAGCGGAATGTTTCCGACCCGATGCGGTCGTAGGTCCCGGCCGCGATCGGGGAGGACAGCGTTGCCGTAGCGCGCACATTTGTCAGATACCGCCGCTGCTGCTGCTGCTCCTCTCCTCTCCTCCCTCCTCCGCTGCTCTCCGCCGCTCCTCCTCCTCCTCCTCCTCCTCCTCCTCCTCCTCCTCCTCTGCTCCTCCCCCTCTCCCTCCACAGTTGCTCAATCTGAGTCTCCTCTCTCCCCGGAAGACGAGCTGAGAATAGCGCGCCTCCCTCCGTGCCCTCCCATCCGAATGCTTCCTCGTCGCTGCCGCACCCTTCCGCTCCCCTCCTCCGCCTTCCCCTGGTCTTCCTGCTCCCCCCCCTCCTTCAGCTCCTGCTTCATCCTTCTCCTCTTCCTCCTGCTCATCCTCCCGCTCATCCTCCTGCCCATCCGCCACCACCTCCTCCGCCTCCGCCTCCCTCCGCCTCCGCCGCCGCCGCCGCCGCCTCCTCCTCCTCCTCCTCCTCCTCCTCCTCCTCCTCCAGTGTACATGCTGCACGTAGCACGACGGGGTCCTTTTGCCTGTCCCAGGTCCTCTACGACACCTGTTGGCGGACATAAAGAAACAGCGCACCGAGAAAACATGTGAGGGAGGGGTAGGGTGTCAGGTGCGGCGCGAGCGTATTCGGCTTGGCCGCCTCTCCTCTCCACTCCTCTCCCCTTCCTGCTTCTTTTCCTCCTCCTCCTCCTTATCTGTGGCAGCTCCTGGACCCCCCTGCAACCTGACGTATAACAAAACCTCATGCCTCCTCCTCCTCCTCCTCCACCTCCTCCTCCTCCTCCTCCCTCCTTCCCTCCTCCAGGAACGCCCGGCACCCTCGGCGCCTGCACAGCAGTGGGGGCACGTGCCAGGAGATGTTCAGGAAACTGTTCATCCACGCCTGCCGCTCCTGCCGACGGGCGGGAGACACGGCAGCTCCTCCCCTCCCGCCGTCCCTCCCTCCTCCCCCTTCCTCTCCTCCTCCTCCCTCCTCCCTCCTCCCTCCTCCCTCCTCCCTCCCCTCCCCCTCCTCCCTCCTCCTCCTCCCCCTCCTCTCCTCTCCTCCTCTCCTTCTCCTCCTCCTCCTCCTCTTCTCCTCCTCCTCCTTTCTCTTCTCCTCCTCCTCCCCTCCTCCTCCTCTCTCTCCTCCTCCTCCCCTCCTCCTCCCCTCCTCCTCCTCCTCCTCCTCCTCCTCCTCCTCCTCCTTCTCATCCCTCTTGTTTTCTCCCATTGTTTCCAAATTCCTTTCTTCGAGTGCGCACCACAAGCCTTCCGTGCCGCGCCTAGCCAACCCTTCCCCCAAGGCTCTCTCCGACTGGGTCATGACTGACCAGCGGGGCTCCTCCCCCCTACCCCTCTTCCTCTGCCTCATCCTCCTCCACGGAGGAGGGAGCGATCGCGCTTCTGGCGACCAGCCACATCAAGGCAGTCTTCCTGAGTTCTCTCCCTCCCTCCCCCACTCTCCCCCCGCCTCTCGCACATTCCCGTCTCGGACCCCCCCCCACTCCCCCCTGAAATCCCAGGCATCACCACCAGCTGGCTCCCGGAATGAGGAGCATCCGGCAAAGAGTGCCAAGACAAAAACGGCCGTCCTTGGCGAACTCGCAGTCCAGCAGGCGTGCCACCAATGTATCCTTCAGGCCAGACACTGACAGCCCCGCCTTCCTCAGCCGGTCCTTCAGTTGGTCCACAGTGAGAGTCTGCAGGTCCTCCAGAAAGACACAAGGCTGTACAGTCGGACCTAAGCCCGAATAACATCCTTCGAGAACATGAGACCCTCCGTCGGCCAGAACAAACAGAACATCCAAGGGTACTCTCCTCTCCCCAGGGTGCACAAGAGCATTCAACAAACACGAAAAACACTTGGGTACCCTCCCAGAACCGACCTCGATCTTGTATCTCGGTCCGACTGTACAAGCGATGCCCATTTTGCCCCAACCATCCTGTGGTGTTGGGTCCTCGTTTTGCATCCAAAGCGCCCCACTCCCTCCTCCTCTCCTTCTCCTCTCTCCCCTTCCTCCCTCCTCCCATTCCTGCTTCTGCCCTCCGCATGTCCCTATCGCCAGCGTCACCTTCATCATTAACACCACCACCACTATCACCATCACCATCATCACCATAATTACCACCATCATCACCATCATCATCACCACCATCATTACTATCACCAACATCATCAACACCATCATCACCATCATCAGCACCACCGTCAGCATCATCATCATCATCATCATCATCACCATTATCCCCATCCTCATCCTCGTCTTCATCGTCATCATACTCATCATCATCATCATCATCATCATCATCATCACCATCATCGCCATCATCATCATCACCATCATCAATAGCATCATCCTCATCAGCATCAGTATGAGCACTAACATCACTACTACCCTCATGGCCACTACCACCAGCATCACCATTACCATCATCATCGTCATCATCATCATCATCACCATGTCCACCACCATCATCATTTTCTTCCTCATACTCCTCCTCCCCCTCCTCCTCCTCACCATAATCATTAGCACCATCATCACCATCATCATCACCATCATCATCACCACCATCACCATCACCACCACCATCACCATCACCATCACCACCATCGTCGTCATCATCATCATCATCATCATTACCATCAACACCATCAGCATCATCATTATGATCATCGTCTCACCATCATTATCATCTCCATCACCACCACCACTATCATCATCATCATCACCATCGTCATCATCATCACCACCGCCACCATCACTATCGCTACCACCGTTACCATCAAAATCATCATCATCGTCATCATCATCATCGGCATAATCACTATCATCAGTGGCATGCCGCCACACGCCACACCCTTCACACGTTTCGTGGCACCATTGGAGCTCCACACAAGGCCTACATGGTAGGATCCATATGCATGAACAAGCTCATTCTGGAACACACCTCGCACAATCTGCATCTGCATATGAGCTCCGCCGAAAAAGCAAGTGGTAAGGTTCGTATGTTTGACCACGCCCATCATGACCCACCCTCACACAAATCGTGCCTCGATAGTCCACGAAGCCCAGGAACGTCCGGCGCCGCTATCGGAGCCTATTGCCGATCTATCGGCGATGTATCGCCGATTTCAGCTCGATGTTTCCGAAGGCCACAACGAGAAATCCCGCATGCCGCCCCCCTTCACTTTGACACACCCCTCACACATCTCGTGGCCTCATGGGGGCTCCACCGAGGGCCCCAGTGGGAAATCCTGCATGCGTCCCCACGCCGATTTCGGCACACCGAAGGCCACGGGCGGGAAATCCCGCATTCGCCCCCTTGGCATACCCCTCACATTTTTCGCAGCTCCATAGGGAGCTCCACCGAAGGCCCCAATGGGAAATCCTGCATGCCGCCCCCCTCCACTTTGGCACTCCTTCCACGCTTCGTGGCCCCATAGGGAGCTCCACCGAAGGCCTCCATGGAAAATCTGGCATGCCGCCCCCCTCTACTTTGGCACACCCCTCGCGCGCTTCGTGGCCACATAGGCCTCCACCGCAGATCCCAGTGGGACAGGGTGTAGGCGCTCACTCCCTCACGTGGCCCCACAGGGAGCTTCAACCAGGGCCTCAGTGGGACATCCCGCATGCCGCTCCCGCTCCACTTTGGCACACGCCTCAGACGTTTCGCGGGCTCATAGGAAGCTCCACTGAAGGCCCCAATGGGAAATCCCGCATACCGCATCCCCTCCACTTTGGTACACCCATCATGCGCTTCGTGGCCCCATAGGGAGCTTCACCGAAGGCCCCAGTGGCAGTGCCCGCATGCGTCCCCGCGCCCATTGCGGCACACTCCTCACATGCTGCGGGGGCCCATAGGGAGCTCTATCGAAAGCGGCACCCGCAACGCGGCACTGACAACTGCATATGGGTGGGTTTTTCGCAAGGATAAGTTTTTCTCGTCGCGGGTGCGTCCTTATGTGATGGCCCCATGGTAGGCCCCAGGACAAGCTTGGATGATCTCCCCTCCCCCTCCCCCTTCTGGCCCGAAGAAGCTGCCCATCCTTCTCCCCCTCCTGCTCCCAGGAGAACAACATGAGCACAGACTTTCGGATGCCCGCGCGGATTTCTTGCATTGGCGCTGAGCCCCCCTTCCTGGCGCGCGGAGCGCGCCAGGGGCGGCGCCAGAGGCTCCGCCACAGGGGTCCACCGCCGACCAAGAAATCTGCGCAGACATCAGCGACATTTCTTCTTCGAGCTTCCCCTCTCTTCAGGACTCCTCCTCTGAATGGGCTCTGGGACACACAAATAAATACACACAAATAAAAAGATTCCCCATATTTTCCCATATTTTCTGGGTTTCTGTCTTCCCCCCCACTTCCCATATTTTCCAATATTTTCCTGGGAATCGACGATTAATTGTGTCTGTGTGTTTCTTTTACTCCTGATCTTCAGGACTCCTCCTCGGCGCTGCCGCTCAGGCCGCCGACGTCTCCCCCGAACAGCTCCCTCAGGCCGCCGCCGGCTTCGAGCAGCTGGTTGGCGAGGCACACCTTGGGGGTCCCTACTCCAGATTTCGTAATAAAGGGAGGGGGGTCTCATTTCGGGGCGGGGTCTCTTCCAGGCGGAGGGCCTGGGGGGGTCTGGGGACGATGTTTTGGAAGGTTCTCCCACGGGGGGGGTCTGAAATGGCTTGTCTTGGAGGGTCCAGACCCCCTCCCTTTTAATACGAAATCTGGAGTAACAAGCTGCCGTGACAGACCTTGCGGCGACTGCGACATCGCCAGGGACCTCACCGCACGGTCTGTCACTGCACGGTCTTGGCACTTTGGAAGGGCCAATCGCCCGAGACTTCCGCGGAGAACAGTCCATGTCCCTAGACCGTGCGGTCACCCCGAACCCCCACTGTCGGGGGCGCGCAAACATGGACTAGCGATCCAAGGATTTGGCGAGCGGTCGCCAAATCCATGGATCGGGGGAGGTGCCCTCCCCAACATGCGGCCGGTGCCGCCTCGTTCGGCGGCGGGAATCCGCGATTTCCCATGGACACGGGACCCGTCGCGAATCCACGCCCCCTTGATCCATGCCTGCGACCGCCTGACACTGACTCACCACGCGGTGTGGTCACCGCATCGTTGTGGGACTTCGGGAGCACCCGTGGCGGCCACCCGCACCACGTGGCCAGAGCAAGGGGGGGGGTGGGCGGACCGCACCGCACCGCCGAGACACCGCTCCGGACTTCGCCGCAGACGCATCGGCGATGCGACGCGATGCTCTGCCCCCATGCGGGCGTTGGCAGAACTGGGTTTGGTGGAACCTGGTTTCGTGATGTGTGCTGGGAGACGCCCTCCTCGCCCCGTTCCACTGACCGGAACCGCCGTCACCCGAAAAACACACCAGCTACGGCAGACCCGGTTTAGCGATTCTGGCCAATGTAAGGGCTCCGGGGCCCGGGTCCCCTTACCTGGGGTCCTAGCTATACCCGACCCATGTGGCCGACTCTGGAAACTATGAATCTAAAGACAATGACGTCTTCCTTGTACTTCCGCCGCCTCCTGCTGGCTTCCGCTCACGGACCCGCCGCCGTTTCGTTTCCGCCAGCGTCAGCCAACCTTTCGTCGAAGACGAGAGCTGCCTCTATGCCTCCTGGCACGCTGAGGCGTGGAAGAATGCCGAATGCTGTCTGGCAGGGTTGATGCAGTCTTCAAAGGGACCCCCCCTCGTTCGCCGCACCCCGTTGCGTGCATCCCCCCCCCCCCCCTTCCCGACGCCACAATCCTCCTCAGCGTGCGACGGCCTCGAGCCCCTGAGGCCCAGCTGCCTCCAGCCCAGCGTGCTCCGCTGGCACGGCGGCGGCGGTGCTGGAGGCAGCTGGACGAGCCGAGAGCGAGGCTCCTCCTGGAGCGCGCCGTGCGCCCCGGCCCCGTTTGGGCTACCCGGGAGCCCCAGCGCCCGTGCGGGGAGGGGCGGGGCGAGGAGGGATGCCCTCACGCCTTGTGCGCCCCAGCGCCCGTGTCGGGAGGGGCGGGGCGTGGAGAGGCCCTCACGCCCTGGGCGTTGCGAGCACGGCCGGGCCGGCGTCTTCGCACGGCGCGGGGGCTCTCCAACAAGGGGCCTGCGCGGCGCGGTCGGGCCCGTGAGAGGCCGAGACTCGGAGAGGCCATCGAAACCTCTGGCCGAGGCCTCTCTCGAGGCCCACAGCGGATCCGCGCGGTCATCGAGGGATGTGCAAACATATCCTCAGGCTTGCTCTCAGCTCACCAGGTGCACCTCCAAGGAGGGTCAGGGAACGGGTGCGCCGTTCCGAAGTCCACTCGCGCCGACCACTGCGCGAGAGACTCTGTGAAACCAAGCCTCGCGGTCCACGGCCACCTCTGTCCAGCCGCGACGCCACTTCGCCTTGGAGAAGCGTCACCAATCATCTTGCAACTTCATGCGGTTGTCGCAAGAGAAGCGCGCGAAAATGCTCTGGCTGGAACTCCTTGCAGAAAATACAACGCCAACGAACGCGTACCCATCTTCATAATGTCCTGCCAATGGCTATTTGCTCGTTGCGCGCGCCGCCTTCCAGCATCGCGCGCCCACTGTCTTCGCCTTGTCTGGAGGCCTCCCAGATGGGGTCCGAGTAGATGGGATCGGATGATCGCGACGAATCGCCGATGCATCGGCGACGTCGGCGATGCATCGGCGCCGTCGGCGTGGAGAACATCGGGCTCAGCATCGAGCCGCCACGGCGATGCGTCGGCGATACGGCGCAGTCCTCCGACCCCATCTGCTCGGACCCCACCTGGGAGACCCAGGTTTCTCACGCACTCTCCGCGTGACCCGCTGA